GGCAGGTGGGCACCCATCCATATGGGCGCTCTTCAGTCACTCCCAAGCTCTGGCTTTTAGTTTTACAGCTTCTCGTTGCTGCATGAAATGGGGGTGAGCGGGGAGCTGAGGGAGCTTCGTCACCCTCAACCGAGCAGGGTGCGACTGGCAGCACCTCTCAAACATGCACTGAACAACTCCTGCAGGTTTGGGTATCCCACGCCCTTCAGCAAGTCTTTATCAGCCAAATGGCCCAGCTTTCACCTCCTTCCAATCACCCAGCTGAAATTCAGACTAAAAGTCCAATCGAAATGACTTAATAGTTAATCCAGCATTTTCTTTTTCATGTGACTGTAGGAATAGTCACAACACGCGTTATTTCTCTCCATAGACGCTAGTCCTCCCCTTGCCCATCTCATTTGTTGCTTCCTGCCCCCAGTGCCGTGGCACTAATCTGTTTGTGAATCCCCACAGATCCCAGTCCACACCAGTAACCGCAGAGTTGTCATATTCCTGCCTGCGATGGGAACACTTCCTGTTTAGGCAAGTACACAGGCACTTGCAACAAATAAAAGACACTTGAAGAATTGGTACTGGGTCCTTCTCCAGGCAAATAAGACAGCAAGCAGGAGGCAGGGAACACTTCTGGGCTGTGCTGCCTGTCTGGAGTCGGCAAAGTCCCGGTGTGCTGCTAGTTCTGTGCCCCTCTATCTGATCGCCTCAACTGTCGCTACTATCCTTTAATGGGAAACGTAACCCGCATTCAAGGCGACCACAAGGAGCTGCAGACAGGGGAATCCTGAAGACCAGCAGAGGTGGGACTGCATTACAGCTGAAGTTACACAGAGTGCACCAGGAGTGCCTCCAAACGGCTCCCAGCCAGGCGGGCTGGAGCGCGCTGACACCGAGCGCCACGGCTAGCAGTGCTCCAGCTTGGTCTTGCACTGCCCACGCTCCAAACAACCGGCTTCTAAGACAAAGCCTGGGCACACTGCTAAAACACAGGCCTAGCTTCGTGCTGCTGCTGCATCCCGTTTCACCCACACAGCTCCTGCAGCCTGGGGTGCATCACAGCTTCTCTCTAATAGTCCACCGCAGTAACAGGTATCGCGCCGGTTTTACTCAAGAGAGGACTGCAAAGCTCTATTTGTTGTTCAGCTCAGATACAAGCAGCTTAAACAGACCTTGCACAGGCCTACATATGGCTCACAATAGCATGAGACATAGCTAAAAGATCCACACCTCAAATGTAAAGCAAATGGGGTCTAGATGATTTTTTTCTGTTAAGCAAATATCATATCTCTACATAGCAATGTTTGCAATTTGGTTTCTGAGGTTTTCAGGTTTGAAGCTGATAATCTGCTTATGGGATAACTTTCAGATCTAACATAAAAATTGCGAAGAACACTCGCCTTTTCTGGCAGTTATTACCAGATATGAATTTGGGGGGCCTAAAAATTCAAAAAAAAAAAAAAAAAGTCAATACAGGTGGAGCATCTGCCTCCTATTTGCTCTGCTCATCTCAGATCTTCAGGAACAGACCAAAGTTAGAAATTGGGACCAGCTTATTCCATAGATCACATTTAATTTAACAAGACTCTGCAGTCTCTTTCTTGCTTAGAGTTCATGGAAGAGTCCTGCATGATTTCAAGGATTATCTACACAGCAAAAATGGAGTCACATTTTAGTTCATGAAAGAATGTGCTTTGCAGGAGCCCTAGTAAAATTTAAACACGTAAGGCTTAGAGTGATATTGAAAAAAAATACACATACTCACTCACTCAGTCTTACCTCTGTCTCAGGGATGTAAAATCCATTTTCTTCTCAGCACTGCCAATGTCAGTTTTTCTTTCCTGTGTTGTGCTGCAGTGCTGTCGAAGTAGCAGTTTTTATTCACCTCTTCCTGGTTCACCCGATGCCTGTTCCTGTTAAGGACTGCTACTCCCTGGGGACAGCAGAATTATGCAGTCCTGATTAACCATTTTCCGGTTCTTTCCTAATCAAAAGGTCTTCTACATGTGACAATTACCCAGGGTACCAGGCACTGATTATAGAGGGCACTCGTGACACATCTTGAGGGTTATTACTTTTAACATGAAAATTGACCACCTGAATTTTCATGTCTCTCAGTATACCATTTTTCCAGACTGCTGAACACTCCACAATAAAACCTAAAAGCAAATGAGTGAAAAGTGCTAAGCGCCTCTTAAATCCCAGCTCACTGCTATGTTCATATCTGTCTTACATGGATTTAGCTCCTAATTTTAAGGCCCTCGAGTTTAAAAGGTCTCTGAATTGAGCTTTCAACATATGGTTAACTAGTTGCTGCAATGAAGCTCACCTGGACTGCGCCCGTGAACGCACTGTGGGCAGCAGGAGGTTCCAGAGCAGGGCCTGGAGGCAGCAGGACATTCAAGTTCACCATTCCCACGGCTGGGCCAGGAGCCCTTCCCCGAGAAGCTCTTCCCTCTCTTCAACGTTTGCGCTCTCTCTTCACAAAAACAGAACGGATCTGTTCCCTATTTTTCAACAATAGATAGTACTGTCAGAGCTTGGCAGGAAATGCGGGTAATGAGGACTCTCTTCAAGAAGGTGACTGGGATGAATTTGTGCAGAGAAAACTTCTCCTTCAAATGCAACCACCGCACTTTAGTTTCAGGAAAGACAAAATGCCAATAGGTCTTTCTATTTCTTTCTGGTTTAGATCATTCTAAAGCACATTATGGATATTTAACTTTAACACAGACTCTTTTGCCACAGAGCAAAACACTCTTACCTCTAAATGCATCTATGGTTCTTTACACACACCAGTGCAGCTCCAAAAGTGAAATAAAACAAACACTCTTTGGATTTACTTTTTAATATAACAATATTAGCCATTGTTTTTTTGATAATATATATACAATGAAGAGTTAACAACAATCTTAATTTAATGACTGAAAACAAAACCATTCCAAATCAGACATACAGGTATGGGTAAGGTAACTTATTTTTTTACAGATTTTGCATCAAAATCAATACAAATATAGACATGGCATGGTGGGGAAGGAGGGCATTTTGCAGATCTGTCAATTGCCCAAACTTCTCCGTGACACAGAACAGACATTACTATTTAAATGAGACTGCCATATAAAAGCAGCTGCAAAATGCGAGAGGACAAGACAAGTCAAATACTGGTCACTGGGCATTTTGAGGAAGGAGAATGAGCCCACAAACTTTGGGACGCACACAGGGGGGACCTGCTGCCTCCTACTAACTTGCAACTGGAGATCAATTCAGGAGGGTTTCTTAGGCTATCGCCACCTAAAAACATTCCAGCAACCATCTGAAATCATCTGTATCTTTTAAGGCTGCAAAACATGTAATCCCAGCTTCGTGAGAAACAAGAAGGTGCAGGAGCTTCACAGCTTCGTGCAAGGGCTGCAGCGATGCTGCTACACGGGCTGAGCGGGGCTGGCGTTGGCGCTGCCGCAGCTTCCCGCCCCCAGCAAACGCAGCCCGGGAGGGACCCGCGCAGCGCCGGGCACTTGAGCACCAGGACTTGAGCACGTCCTGCCCTGCGGCACCCGCCGCGGCGCGCGGGTCCTCTGCATCCCGCTCCATCCGCGAGCCCAACGGGACCGCGGCCGCCCCCAGGCGCAGCCCCAGGATCCCCTCGGAACTGAACGTTCCCAGGGAATGGGGCGATGCGGCCTCCAGGCACATCCCAGGGGAGCTCCGAGGCGGAGCGTCCCCTCAGAGCTATTGTTCCAATGTGATTTTCATTCACAGCACATCCAGCGCGCACGGGGCACTAAGATAAGTCTTGGTGGGGGTGAGACAAATAGGAGCAGATGTTTCCTGTTTCTAGCCTGCCTTTCATTTGGTTTCTGTCATTGCTGCCTATGCAGTTTAGGAGGGGAGGAACTTTGATGCCTAACACTTGTCCCATTGTTTGGGGTTTTGGCAAAATCTGAGCAACAAGGTTGCTTGGAGTGTAGCTGAAAAACAGCCCATCCAGGAGATCTCTAACTGGCAGCAAGGGAGATTTCAAAAGAAGGTGAGTTCTGGTAATAAAAACTACTGGTAAAGCCTCTGAGCCAACTTGGGATCATCCCTAATAACAAAGGACAAGAGATACTTTGATAAAGGCAATTATATTTCTGACTTTGCTGCATCCATTTTTTAAATCAGGTTAATTTCAGTTTTGAGAAACAATTCCACCTTTTCTAAGAAATTTAAGTCTCTCTCTACTCAAATAACAAGCTAAGACCCAGCACTTTTTCCAGGAGTGGTAATTTACAGAGGTTTAATCCATAACTGAACATTATTAGTGTTTTGCACCTACACACACAGAGACGTGCACATCAAAGCTGGAATTGGCAATTTCTATAAATTGAAGTGTTTTACAAATCAGAACTGCAACACACGGTCTGCTGGGGAGGACTCAGATGTTCAGAGTTAATTCATAGATGTTGTTCCACTGTATGGCTACAATGTAAAACTATAACCTGCCTGCTCTGCCTTGATTATGAAAAAGAAAAGTACAGGCAGACTTAATGATGCATCTTTTTCTTATAATATGACTAATTTGCACACTTAAGTCACAATCTCTTGCACGGACACAGCAGAAAACCTGAGATTTTAGTAGAAAGAAGAGGAGCAGCAACTGGAGTTCTATCCTGCAGATCTCCCTGCTTTAGGAGAGACCATCCTCCTGCTGCTGCTGTGTCCCAAGTTGTATTAAAACAGTTTTCAAGTAATAAAATACTTCTTTCTTTACGCCATGTGACAAAACACAATTTTTTGCTGCTGCTGTTGTAAAAAATAAACATTTGTCTCACTATGGAAAAAAAGCCATTTGTTACACAGTTACTTAAGCCAACAATCAAGCTTGGGAGACAGAGGCCCACCAATCCCATAGGAACTAAGCTCCTCCCGAAAGACAGCAGTAGAGAGTTGCTTCAAATGGATGGATGCTTACACATCAAAGAGGGCTCCAGCACAGTCAAAGGAAGAGGTCAGTCATGCCACTCAGACCACAGAGCGAGATTCCGTTTTATTCTTGCAGGTGCACAGCCTCCTTTGGAGAAAAAGTGTTTGTTTTGACATTTCTCATAGGACCCATGAACAGATTCAATCCTCCACACGCTACAGAGAAGCAGTTGTTCAGCTTTCCATTGCACATGTGCAACGCGAAGGGAGGACCGATATACCAGCACACAACACCCGCATCTCTCAGACGTAACCCTCTTCCTTGCATGATTTTCTTTAGGGTTTCTTTAGGGTTTCTTCCTGGCACCTTCTCTGCCTTGACTTTCAGCACACAGGTTTGTCTCACAGCTGCCTTTACAAGCTGCCGATATTGGGAAAGCTCTTCAGTTTCTCAGGAAAGTCATCTTTGTACAAGACAGGGTCTGCCCGGTGCTCCACCACTTTCAGAGGCATGGTCCCGAAGACAGAGGCAAATTTATTGATGCATTCAGATCTGGTAAAAGGGAAAGCAGTGTAATTAAAAGCCCGAACAACTGGGTTGTCTCCCAGCTCCCACTGAAATTACTGATAGAAAAACAACTCAGTAACCTTCCCCCCTGTTCTTGGAAATACTTCAGCCATGCTGGCTTCTAATAAATAAAAAGGGAGCCTCACTGCAGAGAGAACTGGAAAGAAGCTGGTGTTCTTTGATTTATCCATTTAATCAGAGAGAAGAGCAAGGGGATGCTGGCAGCAGCACATGTGCACATGGAGGTCACAGCTTCCCTCTCCCTCCCCCTAGAATTCCAGTCATTCTTAGAGCAATGTACATGCTGCAAACCAGAACAGATTAACTGCCAACATGTCTCTTAAAGGGCCATTGTTGGGTCAATTTGGCTCGTAGCAAAAGTTTTAAAACACAAGAATTCGTGAGAATAGAATTCTACAAAAAGGCCCTTTCTTCCCCTCCTCCATCAAACTTCTCCAGAAGCTCAGAAGACACAAAAATAAACATGTCCCGATGTGTAAGAAACACTAACTGCACCATAATGTCAAAGCAAAGCAGAATAAAAACAATAAAAAGGAACTACCTAGTTTATTTTCCTTGTCTAAATGAAAAGAAATTGAGCAGTAAGGCATCACATCAGCACAGAACATAGAATGCTTAAGGTTGGAAGGGACCTCTAGAGGTCTCAAACCACTGATGCTTCTTTCAGTTTTAGTAACCTCAGGTGTCAGCAATGCTGTGGCAGGGAATGGTGACTTGCTTCAGAAAAAGAAACAAACAGATGTTTAACCTCATGCTGTTCCTTTCACTTTTTCCCTGGAATGCAGGGTACCTCTGGAAGGAAGGCCCTGAGAACTGCCCTAAACTCACCTCACCCAATGTTCAGCTAATGATAGCTATATGTTATGTAAAGCAGCTTTAAAACCTTCAGACACTGAGTATCATGGCAATAGACGGATGAACAGAAGACACCAGTGTGATAACTACCAGAAAATGGCTCACAAGTCCTATGCTGTTCATAAATGAAGGAATTAAGTAAAAAATAAAATAAAATAAAATAAAAAAGAATATTTAACTTAACGGCAGAAGCTCCTGCGCTGCAGGCAGCCCCACCTGAGAGGTCACTGGCTCACGAGGGTTACGGGTTAGGGGGTTAAGGAGTCACCAAAGCTCCCGGGGAGGTTTCCTGAACAGACCTGGTGACTCAGACCAACGCAGCGTGGCAGCTGGCTGACGAGGGCTGCTCCAGACCCGTGGGGCTAGAAAGGGCAATGCAAAGGAAACGCAGCGCCACGTCCACAGGGCTGCTGGGGCCACGTCTGTCCTTCAGCCAGCACTAGGCCTGCTGCCCTCAACCTCAGGCTGAGGGTTAGGGTAGGGAGAGAGAGAGAAAGCCCAGAGCCCCATGGGGAGTGCTGCTAGAATGGACATTCAAAGGGTAATGGGTACAAATCGCAACACAGCAAGTTTCATCTCCATATGAAAAAGCATTTCTGTGCTGTTAGGGTGACAGAGCACCGGACCAGGCTGCCAGACAGGTTGTGGGATCTCCTTTGGAAAACCTCACGACCCACCTGCAATGTGCTCGAGGCGCCCCTGCTTCAGCAGGGGGTTGGACTAGATGATCTCTAGAGGTCCCTTCCAACCTCAGCTTTCTGGCAACGTGTCAAGACATCCCTAACACTCTTTTGAAGTGTACAGGACAGTATATGGTTTTCAAAATCAATTCCTCGGCCTCTGAGACACCCTATAGCTCCCTCAGAATTAAGTGATTGAAAAACCCAACACCCAAGCTGTTAGAAAGCTATATCTCTATGTAGCTGTTTTCAACATATAAAGGTCGTATTTCAGGCTTTTTTTTTTTTTTTTCTCCTTGCCCTGAAAAAGCAGCTACGGAATAACTTTACTACTGATACTTAAATATTTTATGTTCAGAAGATCTCAGGCCAGCTAATGCAGACACCTCACTTTCTGCTACCTTTTCATGCCCTCACCTTGCTTTTTACCCTGGGTCTAGCTTCAAATCTTTGCACTAGGAAACAAAAAATAATTTGGAGCTTAAGAGGGATGAGACAGTATGCACCAGGAAACAACCTCCAGAACTGGCACCAATACTGCTTGCTCAGGGCAAGCATCAATCTGCAAAGGAGCCGCCGTGGCTGTACTAAGCATACAGACACAACCAGTTGTTCAAAGCCTGCAAAGACAAGATGTACCATGAGGTAGGTAAGTCTGGGACCCCGGGCACAGAAGTACCGCTCTGGAGAACAGTACCAGAACATTTTGCCCAGCAACATTAGGTGGTTCTGTTTCTCCATTAGATGCCCAACATGAGATACCTTAAAGCCATCTTGATTTTCAGGTAAGAACAAACTTCAAAATCATCAGTTGTTTTTCAGAAACATGGCTAACTATAAACCAAGTTGCGTGTCCCATAGAAGTCCCGTGGCAGCAAAAGCACCCGGTTCCCCAGCCAGGAGGCCGATGCCCTGGGAGATCTGCTGTGAGCAGTTTGCACAGCCGCTGTCCTCCCTGGGCAATCAAGGCCTTTTGCTTCTGGCCTACTGGCCTGTGCCAATAATGACTGAAACACCTTGTAATACAACAGCTGTTTGGTGGCCTGTGTGAAATGAATGAGTTATCTCGGCCTGGCGGGCAGTCCCCATCCCAGCAGCCAGTGCCACAGCCGGAACGAAGCGGCACCCCCAGAGCAAAAGACAAAGCTAAGTGGGTAACGGAGACAAAAGTGACCTCCCCACTGTGGAGGTTGCACTCGTCAACCAAAGACAAGCTCTTATGAGAAAAGAAACAGAATCCTCCAGCAGCAGAACTCACTCTGGTGGTCAGACCGTCCGAGCACTCTGGTACTGTGCTTTTAACTAACACGAAACCGCTTCATCACTAAGGAAATGCTAACATGAAAAATGGAAAAGTAACTATGTTCTAATCATCTGCCTGAGTCAGAGAACTTACTCGTCAGGAAATAGCAAATTCAAGAATCAGAAACGGCTTTTTCAGATGACAAAATGGCATGTACAAGCCACACAATGTGTTTGAAGGAAAGTTGCCCCTTTCGAAGAATTTCATCCCCTCCACTGAGCTAAATGACTTGAATTCCAAAGCATCTGTCACTGTAGGGCAATATAAAACAGCAAAGACATCTAGCACATTAAACATTCAAAGCTAGGAAGCCAAAGAAACATAACATGTCATCTTATATGGAGGGTAGGTGTTTTTCTTGGCCGAGTTCATGGTTCTGCAAATTCATACGAACAGAGACATCTTTGCTTACAAGAATTATTCATTTTTTCCTTGCCCTACCAACAACACACAATTGTGCTTAACAAGGAATTAAATTAGTGTGAACTGAGAAACTGAGAGCCCTTTGCCCCTGGCATGCTGGATCAGCTTTGGGGCCAATCTAGTAGGCTAGGGTCTGTCTTAATCAGCTTCCTCTCCCTTATAAGCCAAATATATTTTGGCAGAGTAACTCTGCACCTGCAACCTTTGGCCACAGGCTACCTGGGTCGGTTTGCTCATTAAGGGAATGTCTTCCTATTTTGAGTCCAATAAATATTTATTTGCCCTAAAGAAGGCACTGCTGTTGACTTCGCTGCAGAAGCAGCTCAGCCCTTTGCTATATTTACTGCACAGACAGCTGCCCTCGAGGCTGCATTTTACAGAGTTCTCCATTTTGAGAGCCAGATGCAAAGATGCTAAAGGCAGAAAACTTGTTGCTACTTAAACACCCCTGTAAACACATGCATTATGAGATCTTTCTACAACTTTTCCTGTGACCTGATGCAAAGGCCTAACCTAAGGCAAGAAGGGGATTTTGATTCAAAGTTCCCTTTGATTAATGTATTTTGATGATGGAGTTCAACAACCTTGGAGGCTGCAGTTTTACTTATTTATCTTGGAGAAGATAGCAAGGAGAATAGCAATGCTTGCTTTCCCGTGATTCTCTCTAAATATCCTTCAGTACTGGTGAGGGGCAGAAAAAAAAAAAAATAAATAAAGTTTGACTGTACCATGACTCTGTAATCACTCCTGAGAGTGTCATAGGGCTCAAGGGCTCAGCAGAAATGGTTTGTTACACATCTTTCCAGGACAGCTCTCTGTAACTGAGAACTCAAACTCTCCACTCACAAAAGCATCCTTGGTAGGTTGCTATGCACCTTTGTGCTATTTGTGAACCAGAAACCTAACACTAAATTGTTATGCATGACGCATTATCATGACAACCCTGATAAACTACTTGTTTCATAACCAATAGGTTGATCCCTGGGTACCTAGGTCTGCAACGAGCTCAATCTGCCACAATTTCTGAATGCTAAAAAACAAGAGTTGGGCACTTTAGGAAATTCAAAGTGAAGCTGATTATGGCTCTTTGCCTGATACCCCAAATATTGTGCTAGGTACTCACCATTGTGTAGTTATTTGTACAAGCGGTTCTTTTATGATATGCTACAGATCATATATTTTTTCTATGCAGCTACTCTTCTCACCAAAAAAATTTAGCTAATGTGTATGTAAGAGCCTTACTCACTGCTAACTAAGGAAAATTCAGCCTAGATTTTTGTGTCATTTACCGTCTACTTTAAAGGAAAAGCTAACCTGGAAGATTTAGAAAAAGAAACCCTGTCGGATGTTCAACTAAATCCCAGAAGCTGAAGGAATAGTAAGAGTAACACGAAGTGAGGTCTTCAGTGTTAGCATGCAGTTTCAGTATTACATTAGCGACCTTGAAGAAAAAAAAAAAAAAGAATAGAATACACTCAAAATATATCCCTACAGGGCTTCTCCCGCACCCAGCTTCTCTACCAGCATTTACTCCTTTTGCTGAAAAAAAAAAAGTATACGGACCTGCAGTCAACCTAACATTTCCCATACTTCAACTACCCCCACTGTCAGAAACTATATGGGAGAAACAAGGCAACAGTTGAAACATGTTCTCAATAAACTGTCAATGACACTTTAGTTTGAGGATACCAAAATGATTATAGACATGGAAACATGACCTTTACCCAGCTTCACAATGCACTTTGGAGCTTATACCGCTTTTTCATCTTCTGCTTTTATGGTGTCTACCTTAATTAGATCCTATATACAACTGTCATAAAACTAGCAGAACCATAGGAAAACTCAGCTGGGTTCAGACAGTCCATTTTGTAACCGGTGTAGAACTGCAAGAGACAGTACAGCCTCTTGTGCTTCCCCCAGCTAACATTTAAGAACTCCAAAGCTTCCAGGACTTTCTTAGAAGCTTCCTGCAGAGTATTTTTTCCCATCTTATGGGGTACTTTTTACATTTGACTTGCATTTTCCTTCCTTCCTTTTTTTTTTTTTTTTTTCCCCCCCTTCAATCCAGACTAGCCACATTACGGTCTAAATAATCTGCCACCTGATCTTTGTGGTTATATTCTACAAGGTCTGGTTAACACATGGTTAACAATCAACCAGCCAAACCATGCATGTTTGTCTGTTATGTAGTGCGTGTGTGTCTGCATGTACATACAAACATATATAAATAAGCCCCTGGCCTACTATTTTGCATTCATATATACATAAATACATAATACAATTTAAGCAGCAAAATGCTGGTCAATTAATACAGTATTTTAAATTTGTGCACTGAGCAGTCTGGAGAAGGAGAGAAGAAACCTCTTAACCTCTTAAACTTGTAACTTTAAATCTTGACTTTTTGTTTTCTATTGTTAAGTCTTCTGCTGGTGTCCTCCAACACTACAGCTATCCCTGCTTACCCATCTCATCAAATCTGTGACTGCAAATTATTTTTCCCAAAGTGTGCAAGAAGGATGCAGCAGCCTGAGAAGACTCCAGACAAATGCCTTTGTCAGTCCTCAGTCTTGGGTAAATTTCACCTAAGGATTTATGTATTTTTTATTCTCAGATAGCCTCTTTTCAAACAAGGGTCTCAAACATCTTCATAGAAGTGAACAAGCTTTCCTTTATTTTACTTATTAGATGCTAAGGTGGATGTAAGTTAAATGTCTTGGTTAAGGTTAGGGAGCTATTTTATTGCTAAGCAGTGAACAGAACTCATATGCTTACAACTTCCAGGATTTTACTCTAAATACTCACTGCCTTTCCACATACATTCTTCATTCCTAAATTAAATTCTCACAAAAATATAATAATGCTACCATTGTTAAAAAAAAAAAAGCCACATTAAATTGTGCAGGCAAATGCACTTCATTAGCACAGCACAATGCTTCAGAATTTTTGAAGGAAAGACAGCATAAAAATTCAATAATATTATCAACAATTTATATCCTTGTTAGTCAAACACTCTTTGGTAAGCTAGGAACTGAGTGGACTAAAAAAACCAAAAATTCTTACATTTTTTACATTTGAGATTTCGTAATAAAATGGAAATGTTGTGGAAGTGAAAGTACTACTAAACCTGCATTTCATTAGCATGCTCTATATACTTTACAGCAAAGCTGCTAAAAATGCTACCCTACTAAAGTCTTTCCTTGTAGCAGTCCACTTTTTGGCATCACATCATCCCCTGTGAGAATGATTTATGGTGATAAATTCCATGAGATATTCCTTCAAAATTAGTATTTTGCAGAAATACAACCAGTGAGCATTTTGGGTCCTAATTTAATGAGATACAGAATGTTTCTGGGGATCACAACAAGGCAGGCAGTAGAATAAAGGGTAGTCACTCACCTTTCCACCATGTGTGTCTGGTCCAGTGATAACCCATCGATTGCTGTGCATTCAGGACACTTGAACTTCTTCCGTGGGGTCACCTGCACAAAGGCATGCCAGATATCATCAAATATCAACGGAAGGGACATTAATCTCCTCACACAGAGAGCAGTGCGATACCTCTGAACATGCCTGCAGTGTAAGCTGAGCTCGTGCTCTCAAAAAAAAAAAAAAAAAAACACGGAGCGGGGGGGATAGTGTTTAAAATAAAGCCACTCCATTCCTCCGTTCAGATCCATCTGGCCCGGCTGACTGCAAATTCACAGGGGCCCAATAAAAATGGCTTGGAGGGGTTTTGCCTTCTGTAACCGAAAAGAAGTGGCGATGACAAGCTCCTTAATTCCTGTTTAATGACTGTTTTCTCACTGCCAAGGTCCCTGTATAAACACCATTTGTTCTTGCAGCCATAACAGCGATGAAATATAGCTTCCCATACTCCACCGTAACACTAATCCAACAGACGCTCTTTTGCTCACTCCAGCTCATAGCTGACTGGCAAACTCTGCAAGACTCTCCCCCTCGCACAGAGGTGCCAAATTATTCTGCTGTGCCTTGTACAGCTCAAGAACTTTTTCAGCAAAAGCACACACTTTATCTTCTGAAGACTTTTCTAGGAAACACAGCCACCAGTCCCAGTAAATGATGATGGACAGATGGGAAAGTGGACCCTGCTAATTGAAGTAATGCCTGGTGGCCTCTAAATCTCATTCCAAGTTGACACACTTTGAAATGAATGTACAGAGTGAATGTCCAGACCTGAAAACGTGTCGAAACATGTCAGGAAATCAATTCAGGGATAAAAAGTTCATTTAAAGCTGATCTTGCAATTAACATTCTTGAAATTAACATTCCTATAAATCAGCTGTTGCCAGTCCATGACGGAGCGAGCTGTGGACAGTTGGCAATTCCTTTCCTCAAGTGATCTCAAATAGTTAAAATATATGTATGTATTTTTGTACTTTAATATAAATATCTATCACTTAAATTACCTTTTTCATACCTCATCTAGTTGGTTACAATAAATACCAGAAGTGGAAAAAAAAAAAAAAATGTTCTGTGTTCCCAATTGTCATGAAAGTTTTACTAAACTGGGCTAAACTCTTTCCTACCATGGAAAGAGCATGTGACACCATTCCAGAAGTAAATGAGAGAAAAAAAAGATGACAAAGTAGTATATTCAAACATACTAAGTAAGTTTATACTATGTGTACACCACATTTTTAAACTTTGCAAAGCTAAAGTGCAGAAAAATCCTACCTTAATAACTGATTTGCCTGTGACATTTGCCACCAGAAAATTCATGGCAATATCTTCACAGTTCATATGAGCATCCACCCAGTTCTTGATGTCTCCAGGCATTTTATAGGTGTAAAGATAGTTAAAATACTGCAGGATAGATAGAAAGAGGGAGAACATACTTTTAAATTTTAAGAATTTTAAACAGTCCAGTCATTGAACACCAGACAGGTAAGGAGAGGTTACAGGCAATCTCTTACCCAATCTCTAGGCATTCTCTTATTCAGCCAAGGATGTCTTTAGCTGACAGTCATTTTTGAGCAAAGATGTAACCTTCCTTTCCTGACCAGCAAACAAATTTCTTTTCAACTTGTTTTCATTTTTTAAAATATTTAGCTACAAAGCTATACTCATTATAAAAGCATGAGGCAATCAGTTAATCCTGCAAATTGACAAGTTTTTCCTTTAAGCTTATAAACCCATTTATTTTATAGAAGGAGACAAACCAGTTGTTTTCACAGTAACAGAAGAAGGTTTAGGGCAAGTTCTCAAATGTTTCTTCGATTGTTTTAAGAAAAAATAATTGTTTCACAATATACTCACTGAACAAGGACAGAAACATATAGCTCCCAAAGAAAGGTTCACGCTGTGTATTAGTAGGCCCTTCTGCAGTTCAAGGTGAACTGCCTGTTCGCTGGACGACTGAACCATCTCACTTTCTAAGAATTCAACAAATGAGACTTTGTGCCATCACAACCTTTCCAGGTGAGGCACAAAGGCTGTCCAATAAAGAAATATTTGAATTCTCAAAAGGAAAGACAGAGATTACAGTCTGATGCAAAATAGCATTATATCATTTAATAGCAAGATATCCTGACGCTTCCCTTTATTTCTAGTGGTTCGGTTACCTTGTGATAAAACGCTGCGCCGGTCAGCACCATCGAGACTTCATTGGTCCACTCGGATTCGTATTTCCATTTGTTCATCTCGTGGTCCCACAGATGCAGGCGCCCCGGATACCCGACCAGCCTGTCAGGAAACTCGCGCCACACCTGGCGAGGAGGGAAGGCGGCGCTGTGAGGAGCCGGCCCTCGGCACGCGCTGCGCGTGCGCGCGGGCCCGACGCGGCTCCTTGCGCAAGGCAGGAGCACCGCGGCCCGCACACCGCGGCGACCCTCACAAGCTCCCGTTCTCCAAACTGGGAGAAGCCGGGAACATGCGAGAGAGAGAGAACCCACATTTGCTTGAAATGGGCCTGCAATGAGGGAAGCCATGCTGCAGAGCCAAGAGCCAGCAGGGCAGCAGCAACCTTCCCGCTGCAGAGGAATTCTACCGATTGCTCAAAAAGAATTTAACACTACCTAAAACCCGCATGATTAAAATGGAACTTCTGATGTTAACTTCAGTAGATGCGGCTACAGCCTAACTACTTTCACAGCTGGCTTTGGATCTAACCAACCTGTTTACTTTGATAGGAAGGGGCTTAACACAAGCTTATATTTTAATATTTCTGGCATTCTTTAGTGGGTGCTTGGATGGATCCACTGCTACATGGCAGGCCTCTGTGCCCCGGACTTGTTCCAGACAGCTGGATGCAATCAAGATACCATCCCTGTCACTCCATACATTACCCTGCAGCTGACGACAGGATCAAACACAGTAGACAAGAACAAGGAGAAGGGCATCATTAACGCAACCCCAGTTCTCCACACTGCTAGCCACATTAAATAATGGTCATTTTTTTGCACGAGTTAAAAGGGAGAAAGCGTTATAGTTATTTAAAGTGGCTTGAATACTATATACCAGCTAAGTACAAAGTATTTTTTGTTGATCAGCAGTAAAGCTAGTATTTATTGACACTATTCACACAGACTAATTACTCATTTCTCGCTTTTTATTATTCCAGTATCTGCTTGACTTATTGTAAGAACACGAGTCTCAACCCTCCAAACACATCATGTTAGGTAACAAGAATTTCTTCTTCAAGTTGGTAGTGGTTTTATTTTTATTATAAATAAATAAATCGAAGCAGTCATTTATGACCAAATTTCAATGTGCAAGCAAGAAACAATGATGAAAAACCTCTTGGATCCCTGAGGGCTATTTCACAAGCAAAACTTTTTTTTCTGTGTACAGTTGGCAAAGGAATCCTACAACACAGATCAGATGAAGCTGCAGCAAAACAAGCATTATACAGAACTCTGCAATGCTGAAAACCTCACTTTGTCCACCGTTTCCTTAGGGTACTTCCTATGTGCCAATACTTTTCAGTTAGGAGACCTTGACTATAAGGACTCTGTGTAAGTATTTGATTAAAGTAAATATGATAAAATAATCAGCATTAATTTACTAGTTCTGTATCTACATTTCTATGATTTTGCATTACTATATACCTTTTCATCTCTAGATCTCAACACATTTTATTGCTGTCAGTTAATATAGTTCGAGAATCCCATGATAAGAGTAGTTACTATTTCAAACGTACAGATGAAGAAACCTGCCAAAAATCATAGAGAAAACAAGAATGGGAACCAGATCTTCTGACTTGCAGACTTGTACCTGATCCAGAAATCAATCCTTCTAGACCGAAAATTTGGGCAGGAATACCTGAATAGTACTTAGACGGGGTAACTGTCTAACAGAGGGCTCTTGAAAGCTGAGGTGATTTGGAACTCAAGCAGCAGAGTTCAAAGGATATTGTCACAAACTGGTGCCACCAGCTAATTATAAAATATATATGTGTGTATATATATTCATACACACACACACACACTTTTTTGGCAGACCGGTAAAGGCTTGGGATACCTGATTCAATTTTGACATTATGTCATTAACATTGATAAAGAGAAAAAGGACAAATGCATAGCAACTCTCTCTTCCTCCCCGCCAAGGACTTAAAAAATGAAGAATTAAATTGTACTTTTTTTGAAACCTCATTATTTACATACCCATCTCCCAGCTGTTGCAGGACCCTGCAACATAAGCTACCAAGGCTCAGCAAAAGGTTTGGCAGA